GATATCGGGATGAACTAGATACCATGCCCAATATATCTAGATAACCCAATAAAAGTGACACCTATACCTAGATATTTCATAGTAGGATTGCCCAATACAACGATAAAATATCTAGATATTTTCATGTGGGTTTTTCTGCTTGGGTAAAGATTTCGGGCATTGATTGTGAATATTTGATATTTGACTAAAAATGATCAGAAATTATTTGTATTTTTCGGGAGTTTTCGTTTAAGATACTGGAATATTTTTCCGCTTGTATTCTGAAAGAATAAAGCTTATATCAATGTACATACTTTTAGAACATGAAACTTTTCAAAAAGGTCAGTATTGAGCTGAACACATAATAGAATAGCCTAAGATACCCTCTATCAGAATACACCATAGATGGGCCTCAGTGAAGGTCTGTCTAATGCTCTCCTGCGCAAAACATAGATAAATTTCAAAAATCCGACTCTACTACGTCATTCTCATATCAAATACTGATAATATAAACCCATCCCAGGCACTGCGTTTCTTGATTGAGAGGAGGGATCTACTAATTCCTGGGGATGTCTTACTTTGAGACTTCTTCATCTACTAAAAGCAAATACCTGACACCTTAAAAACCATATCATAGCTATTCTTCAACATGGTCAGCATGCTTCGAAAGTTTCAACCAGGTTAAGTCATGTAATTATTAGAATCGTTTTTAACAGGGAGGCTTTAATCTTAAAGCAAGTAATTGTTTTTTATCCGTTCTGTTGATATATATTTACTTCAAGCATTTTGAAAGTGTATACGTAGGGAAAGAAAAAAGAACGACTGGCCTCAATGTGCTTTTTCCCAACTCAAAAAATTCATAAACGAAAAAAAATGAATCACTTGCATATATTGAAAAGAAAACATTATGTGAGATGAAATAAAAAAGGTAATGTATGTTTTCATCCTAAATCCTTTTTACTGATAATCTCAATAACCAAATTATCCTCTGTATTTGAGAATCACAAATGCCAATCTTACATTACTTAATTCTTCTTTTTCATCAATCCCTAGTGGACGCATTTTAAGCATACACCATGACACATTTGTTACGTATCTTCGTTGAAATTCTGAATGATGAAAAGTAATCGATTATTATTTTGGAGTAAAAGCATACGTGATCCTGAAAAATATATAATTTCGATGCGTCATATAACTGAACGCATTTTGGAGGAAATAGCATTAGATTTATATTATGGTTGACGTTTAGTTGTCAGTTATACAACGTATCAAAAATATATACTTAGACATGGTTGTGTGACCTTGTCTCCAAAGTAATGTCATATTTTCATGCATTTTCTATTATAGATTTGATATTTATTTACAAATTATGGAATTCGATTTAAATAGTTGGTCAAAAGTGATTCCTTACTGGGAGGGTAGAGATATTGGTCAATATTCTGATCATATAACTGTTTGGCTTGATAAACATATAGGACGAGAAGGACAGAATGATGATCTGAAATTGAAATTTCGAACAGATATCCATCCTTTAACTACATTAGATCATGAAGAGGCAGAAGTTGATCCGCCATTACATTTGGATCCGGAAATACTGGAGCTACTGAAAGATAGAGTTTATTTTTTGAAAGCCTTCTTTGACCCTGAAGAATGTCTTAAATTTATAAATCTATATCATGATCGAAAAATATTTTTTATTACATCCGGATCAATGGGTGAACATTTTTTATCAAGAATAGCTGGATTACCCCAGATTCAAGAAATTTTGATTTTCTGTGGAAATATTTCCCATCATGTACACACTTGGGCAATGAATTATACTGAGATTATTACAGCAATGTTAGACTATCAGACCAATTTACTACTACGTTTAACAAAAGATATAGCAAAGTATATAGAAGATAAAGGTAATCAACACATGGCACATTTTGAAAGAAATGGAGCTACAACGTGTTATGCGTGGGCTATTAAATTAACATTACGCGCGAAAAAGCTTGGTGATACTAAGTCTAAGGCACTGCTCGACATATTAGTGAGGAAATTCGAGGATGCTGAACCAGCAGGTGGTGTAGCACCAGTAGAGCACATGGAGCAAGATCAACAATAAACCAAACTGCAAAGAATTTGTATGAAAATAAGCTCGTGGAATGTACGAACGGCATCGAAAAAGGAAACTATACTTCACAAAACATTCCCCATTAGTTTTTCATTGTGCAATCGATCTGAAATAAATCAGAACAATATTGTAAAACAAGCTTTGGAGGTGGCGGTTATCTCTACATGATAAGTCTATCCGTTCTAACTGTGATAAGCCTTCTCGAAGCCTTAAAAATCATTTCGGAATGATAAAGACATGATAGAAACATCCCATCAAACTAGATACACCTTAATTCAGTTATTCGGATAATTTGAAATTAGCGTTAGCTAAACACAAAATCAAATAAGTTTGTACGGTTCATTGAATAAAATTATGAGCATGTAGAGCTAAACGTAGCTTTGACCAGTATTACAGTTCATCACATTTAGTACATTACTCATTGATACACGCCATAATGGCACAATTCATAAATAGCACAAAAATGTTCCTCTACGTATTGATAATCATAACCGTAAGCATAATACATTAGGTAGTAGTAAGTATCGAGAGTGGCGACACGCATGTCGTCGATAGCGTGGGCATTTCTCAGGTATTGACTATCCTATCTACTATTATCAGCATCCGAAAACGACAAAAACACATTTCAGTTAAAAACAATGTTCTGTTCGTTTACTTTACAAAGTTTTTCATTCTTTTCAATCACTCATTATCATTCATTTTGTTTGTTTATTTTCGTTTTGAATGAAAGTCTAATGTGGACCACATATGGTTGTTGACTATCATTTGTAAGTGTATGAAATATATGCTGAAATTGCACGCATGTTTATGTTGCCAACATAAACATGCATAAGACACGTGCAATCGTTAAAGCTTTGGAAATTTAAAGATATGAAAGAATAGTTTTTTTTTATTGAAAAACATAACAAACTCTATTCGGAGCGCCTAAGAATTCCGGAATAAATACGATGGAGCGTCAAGATCGTCAAGTTCGACTTGTCCAAAATATCACATTCGATCCGGGATGAGATAATGACATTACTGCAATGATATTTGTATATGACAGTTGTTAAGTATAAATGATTTTAGTCCAATAGATTTTACAAGATCATAATTCAGAATTAAGTTACTTCATTATTAGATTTTCAAATGATTTGGATAATTTATAAACTTTTTAGTTTTGGGTGAAAATCGCAAAAAGTCGAAGTTTTTGAGCTATTATCTGATTTTGTAAAGATCTCCCATAAAATCTCATTTACCGAAAGATTTTGACGATTTCTGTTCTATAGAAACATTGCCCGAAGATTTCACTGCAGACGGGTGAAAACTCATGTCTTTTAATCAAAAAGTCACAGAGTGCACCGCACCGTATTTTGAAATGGAAAATGGCGCCAACAAAGTTTAACTGGAGATAATTGATAAAAGAAAAGTGAAACAAAAAGTTAACAGCTTCGTAAATCAACTCGCCCACGAAATAAATAGTTTTTGATCCCAAAGCTGAGTTGAATTCTGAGAAAATCGTCCAGTTTATTTTATAAAAGTTTACTTTCATCTTTATTAAAAAGCTTCGTTCGCCTCAGAAACAACAGACGTTGGTTAAGACTACATAGATCTAATCATCATTGTCATCACTAATTGCTTTTAAATACCTTTTTGCTGATTTTTCAACAATTTCCTTTGCCTTCGTTTCAATAACACCTTTAATTCCGGACATTTTACACGATGCATATAGTCGA